TCCACAGCACTGCGCGGCCTCTCCTGCGGACAGAGGGACGTGGTGAGCAGGGACGGGCGCAGGGGCACATGGGCGCAGGGGCTCGGGAGGGGCGGCTCTCCTTAGAATCTACAGTGGAGGCCCTGAGTGTGGAAAGGTGGCCTCAGGAAGGCCGCCGCATTCTGCCTTCACTGCGTGGGGGGAGGTGGGGGAAAGAGCAGGGGAGGACGCATGGGGCAGAGGAGAGGGCCTCCGCTTGGTCTACAGAACACACACAAAGCAACAGCTGCACAAGGGCTGCGGATGCTCTCTGATTTAATGAAAATGTAGTTTTTAGTGACACATTTGCTGTGAAATAAGTCAGAGAGACACCTTCACATATTCCATGATTGATGATAATAAGATTGAAATATTTGTTTTCTAAAAACCAGGCTGTCATATTTGAGCATTTATCCACAGCTGATTTTTATGCTTTTCTTCTAACACGTTCCATGTTTCCACTTCTGTTTTCTTTCTTTCTTTCTTCGCAGTGCTGGGGATAGAATTTGGGGTCTCTTTCTTTCACATTTCTCTTTCACTGGGATCGAACCCAGCAACCCTGCCCGAGCTACATACTCAGACCTTTTTATTTTCATGCTGCCTGAGGCAGGCTCTTGGTATTTCACTGACTTGCCCTGCAAGCTTCAGCTCCACAGCGTGTGTGCCACCACACCTAGCCCCACTTTAGAAAAACTAAAGAGTTAGAAAATAACAAAGATTTCAGCTTATTTTGTATAATATAAACTTTAAAGTAAACATGGAGAATCCAATCCATAGGTTTGCGAATTCAAGGCCAAGCTGGGCATGTAATCCCAGCACTCAGGAGGCTCAGGAAGGGGGATCGCTGCCTGGGCTACACAGTGAGTTCAAGGCCTGCCTCAGCTACAGGGCGAGACCCTGTCTCAGAAAACCCAAAGGGAACTGGGGAGCAGCGTGGGGTAAACTTCCTGCTTCACACGCATGTGGGTCTGGGTTCAAACCTCAGCATTACAAACACACACACAGCTGGGCCCAGTCAATTTAGCAAGGCCCTGTCTTAAACAAACAAACTAAAAGGCAGGGGATGTGCTTATTGTGAAGGTTGAGCCTAACTCCCCATACTCCGCCCCAAAAGAAAAGCTGTCCACAAGTGCTGGTCCGAGACCCCAAATCAAAGCTCATCAGAAAACACCTGGATTAGGTACAGACTGGGCCTCTCCTCTGGGTATTAATCCTCTAAAAGTAATTTTTCAAAAAAAGCTCAGTAGGATTTCTTTAGTGCCTATGAAAAGAATTCTGGTAAGACATTAAAACAAAGCCAAGTTTGGGCTGGGGATTTAGCTCAGTGGTGCCGCACCTGCCTTGCGAGAGCAAAGTCCGAGTTCAATCTCTGGTACCGAAACAAAAGAACAAAACAACACAACTACGGCAGCTTTACTGTAATCCCAGCACTCTGAGACTGAGGCAGTCCAGTCTGGACAACTTCACACGTCTGTCTTAGACAAAGAGGAAAGGGCTGGGCAGTATTCTCAGTGTGGAGGCCCTGGGCTCAACCCCCAAGCATCATGAAACACAAAGAACAGCCACACAGTCATGGAAAAGCAGCAAACAGAAGCAGGTCTGTAAATCTACACAAGTACCGTTCTGAGGTCCAGCATCTTCTTAGTCTTCCTCAAGGTCACGTATGAGGCTATTGTTGAGGACTCAGGTGTTGGTGACTTTGTTCTGGGAGGGACGATGCCAATAGGGAAGTGGGAGCCTGAAAACAAGACAGCAGTAAGTTCTACAAAACGCATGCACGCAACGGGGTTTTCTTCTGCTCCGGTGGTATTTATTTGTGCATTTCCATGGCCCCGGAGATGGAAGCCAGAGCCTTGTGTGTGGCAGACGAGCCCTGAGCTGTGGAGCTGCACCCTCAGCCTTCCTGATTGTTTCCAAAGGCCTGAAGACAGTCAGAGACATCACTGGACAAACGGAGGGCTAAGTTTACAGACAGACTTATTTCTGCAGTACTGAGGATAGGCCCCAGGGCTTCGTACACACAGACACGTGCCGATAGCTCTAAAGGGCGGCGGGGGCAAAGACATGAACTCTGCAGAATGTCCTCTGTGCTCGCATGGTCCATCTCTATGGTCACCCTAATCAGTGTGACAGTTACGGAAGACAGAGCCCAGACGAACTGGGTGATTTACCACGGTATCTTTACTTTGATCTTCATTTTATTGCTTTTTAAGTCATGACACAGGGTCTGGCATATTGCCCAGGTTGGCCTTGAACTTGTGATCCCCCTGCCTCGTCCTGCAGAGTACCTGGGATTGTAGGTGTGCGGATCCCCTCCATGTACATGGCCTCTATAAAGCATGCACAGACAGTGCAGCAGCAGGTGACAAGAGGTCACTGTGTGGTGCAAACAAGCTTCCCCCAAAAGGCCGCGTGCATCCAAGGCTGCGAGTGCAGGGGCAAGGGCCGTCCCTTCCTCTTCCTGTCCTCCACGCCCCAGCCAGGGGGAGGTGGTGGTCCTGTCACACAGCTCAGTCCCAGCAGCCCTCAGTCGGTTTCCTAAGTGCTGCACATGTGTGAAAGGGTCTGTCTTTATCTCAGGGGGAGGGGGGGGGGTCCCTGCCAGGCTCTCAATGTGTTCAGCTCTGAGCCTTGTAGCCTATGGAGCTCCTGGCTTTTTTTCCCCCTCAACTTGATACTTCCTGGAGGAGGAGGGAGGATATCAACACTGGTATTAACCTGAATTTGTAATCACTCTGGTCCTGAGGGGAGAAGTACCCAAGCGGTGCCAGGTGTGGAGGTGAATGCCTGTAAAGCCAGCACTCGGGAGGCTGAGGCAGGAGTCCTTGAACTACACACACAATGAGACCCTGTCTCAAAGAAAAAAAAAAAAAAAAAAGCTGGGCGTGGTGGCGCACACCTGTGATCCCAGCACTGTGGAGGCTGAGGCAGGAGGATCGCTGTGAGTTCACCAGCCTGGGCTACACAGTGAGTTCCGGGTCAGTCTCAACTACATAGTAAGACCCTGTCTCAAAAAACAAAAACCAAAAAAAAGATCCCTGAATGTGTGCAATAATACATGCCAAGTGACACAGACTGAGGCTATGTATACTTCATTTACGTTTATGCATACATGTGAAGAAGTTAACACATTTCATTGAGGAAGATGTGACCTGATGAGACTGCGGAGCTGTCACCTTGAGTTCGAGGTGACAGAACTTCTTAATGCCCCTCCCTCCCGCTGGGGAATGGCTCCCCAGGAGCACCCGCAGGCCTGGCTCTGCCTGCAGCTCACAGGGACAGGGGTTTCCATCATGAAAAAGCTAAGTGAACCTCACTTCATGTGTTCTTCATACTTAACTTTGTTTTGTTTTGTTTTTGAGTCAGAGTCTCACTGTGTAGTTGAGACTGACCTGGAACTCACTGTGTAGCCCAGGCTGGTCTCGAACTCAGTGATCCTCCTGCCTCAGCCTCTGGAGTGCTCCGATTAGAGGCGTGCACCACCATGTCCGGCCCATACTTAACTTTGTGATCCCCTAGCAGATTATAAAATTTAGCCCAGCGCATTATATGTAGCATTTATTTTTCTGAAATATTTTATTCTTCAACATACTTGCTTTCTCTCTAAATAAATATGTACACATACACAAATGCTGTTTGGTGAACCTCTCGAAAATAAATTGCAGATTCTTTTAAGTTTTTCAGGATTCACACACAATACTATGCTCACACTATTAGCTGGTGTCTAGAACATGTTTAAATTTTCATACTTCTATGAATATCTTCACAGTTTTTCTCTTCTTTGGTACCAGGGATCGAACTTGGGTCCTTGTGCTTGCAAGGCAGGCAGTGGAACCACTGAGCCAAACCTCTGGCCCTCATAGTTTTTCTTTTAAACAATGGTCCAATTAAAATTTAAAGTACTGTACTGTATTTGTATGTTTCTCTAGTTACAGGGATTGAATCCACCACCTTGTACATGCTAGGCAAGGGCTTTTTATCACTGAGCTACCTCTTGGACATTTTTTTTTTGGATTTTTGAGACAGGGTCTCACTACATAGTTGAGACTGACCTGGAACTCACTATGTAGTCCAGGCTGGTCGAGAACTAACAGCGATCCTCCTGCCTCAGCCTTCCAAGTGCTGGGATTACAGGTGTGCACCACCATGCCCTGCCTTCAGACATTTTTTTTTTTAATCTTTTGAATCTAGAAGAATTCTCCCTGCTACCCTTTTCATTTTGACACTGAAGAACAATTAGCATTGGTGCGTGTGCGTGCCTGTCATCCCAGCACTCAGGAGGCTGAGGCAGGAGGATCATTACAGGTTTAAGGCCACCTTGGACTACACTAGTAGGTTCAAGGCCAGCCTGAACTACAGAGCAAGATTGTCTCAAAAAACCAAAAGATAAAAAGGGAAAAAAACCTCAGACAGCAGAAAACTTTCAGAAAACTTGTCATCAAACATTTCTCAGTAACACCTAACCTGATCTGCTATCTTTATCTTGCTTGGGATAAATATTCCAGAAGAATGAATGTGTTTAAAGGCAGTACATTTGGGCATGGTAGCACATGCCTGTAATCCCAGCACTTGGAAGGCTGAGGCAGGAGGATCGCTGTGAGTGAGTATGAGACCAGCCTGGGCCACATAGTTACTTCAAGGCCAGATTGTTTCAGGAAAAAAAAAAAAAGGCAGTGTTGCCCTGTGTCTGGTTGGGGTGATGTCTGTGGTTTACGGGTGATGTTATCTTCCTGTTAGCAGAGGATTTCTTTATTCAGACCCTCCTCGTGAGTCGAAAGGTGTCAGATAGAGAGACTGTAGACTTGTGCATGTAGTACCAGGTCTGCACTTAAACTGAGTATCGCTCAAATGTCTCAAAACAAAACAGAAGAAAACGTCAGAGGAGATACAATGCACGCCCAGTGCTGACCTTTAACAGCTGGACTTTCCATCTCCGACACAGGTTCTGATTTTTCTTCCCCATTCGACTCATCAACTTCTGCCACAGTTGTTAACTCGGGCTCACTCTTGTAGAGTCTATAATCTGGACCCTTCAAAGAAAGACATGTCATTAACAAAAAAAGCTCCATACTCTTTTAAAATGTCTACCTTTAAAGACTCAATACCTCTAAAGACTCAAGTCAAGCTCTAAAAATTAAAAGCCCCAGTTGGCTACCATGGATAGAACACAACTAATACAAATGTGACCACTAAGGACAAAAAAGCAATTTGAAAGTTTTTTTTTTTTTTTTTTTTTTTTTT